AATCAGTCACATTTTTAGTCTTATTACTTAAAAATTTAAAAAAAAACAAATGATGAGATCAACTTCTTCCCGATAACGGTTAATAAAATATTTATCAAAAAAATTAAGCATAGTAACTTTTTTAATGAACAGTATGATATTCTGAAAAACAGTTCTTTCCCCTAGAAAGACATAAGTATACTTTGCACTTCGTGCACATTATTTTTGAACGGCTATTGCAAACCTCCAGTTTGCAAACTCTAGGTGAGGTAATGTTGTCATCAAAATAAGGCAAGTGTCCAAAATTGTCATGCCTCTTAGCAACTGAAGGAGTCGGTTGTTTGTATTTCTTGACTGCAAGCACCCCAACATCTATTTCATCATTTTCTTCAGGCTGTAAATGCCCCTTGGTAGGAGTTTCGGTTAAGCCTTCAGCAACATCCAATCGGAAATGCAACAAGTCCAAGATTCTGTTCTGGGGTACATTATTTGCAATACAATCATTGCGATAAAGACGCCAGGCATTTGCTACAGCTAAATCTAGAAAATGTATGATGACTTTTAAAGTCCATTTTCTGGTCTTGATGAAAGCTCGATAATACTCAATTTGTTGGTCCAGCACGTCCACTCCTCCCATATATCTATTGTAATTGGAAATAACTTTAGGACATGTGACATCAACGTAGGTCTTTGTTGGTTTATCCCACCGTTTAATCAATGATGTGTTGTCTGCTCCTGTGCAGTTGGATATCATCATTACGGACTTATTGTCTTTCCATTTAACGAGAGCTAAATCATCATCACATACAAATTGTTGAGATTCTCCCCTTTTCATCTTATTATCTGCCTTAAAGTTCAAGTTTTTTCGTTCACGAACCCGATTCATCATTATGGTGCCAGTTCCATGCAATCCCAATTCAGTTAACCTTTCTAAAAGGCTAACACTAGTAAAAAATCTATCGAAATACAAACAACTGTTAACTGGAACTTTTTGAGCTAAATGTAGAATGACTGATGCACCTACACCTAGGTCTCTTTCAGCAAAAGCAGTTCTTGCTCCTAAATAAATCTCAAAATCCAACATCAACCCTTCGCTCGTAGTTAGGACAAAATTTTCAACCCGACTGGACGAGGTTTGTTTCTTACAACCTGGCGTAAACTGCATCTTCCAGTGAAGGGAATCATTTGTTCATCTATTGAGTAAGAACATGGCACTCTTTCTAACTTGCAACAAGTCTGTTTAACTTTATCTATTACGGGCTGTACCTTCCACAAAGGATTTAGTCTGTCTTCTGGAGAAGTGGGTTGGTCTTCTGGTACAAAATGCAATGCACTTCGTAAGGTTGTGAAACGATCACGTGTCATAACGTCGGCTATCAGTGCCAATCGTGTATTTTGACGCCAGAATAAATACAAACGCGGAAAGGCGAATACCCCCATGTATAAATGCATTCCAAAAACTTTCTTTATTTCATCGGCAGAGGTTTTTAAAACCTTACCAGTTTTTCTTAAATGGTAATTGTTGGTACATACTGCTCCTAGTTAATAAAACTCATCATTAAAATAATCTTCAAAGTATTGGATCGGGGTCCTAATAGCGTTGAGACGTAGTGGTTGATAATTGTGTTCTTTGTCAGGATAGTTAGTTTGCCTCCATATCTTACCTCTGCTTTGCCCTCTTGACGAACCTACTCGTTGAGTAGAATGACCACTATCAGCTTGACTACTGGTATTTTCTGAAGGTACTGGTTCCGGAGGTTTAGGTGGTTCAGGTACGATAAAGGATTCAGTTGTTGACAAATCCTCTGCGTACTCTGCTTCATTATCTTCAACAAGGAAGTTTTCGTCTAAAATATCTTCTATATCCGAGTCACTTCCGTCACCTAATAGGTTAAATATGATGTCATCGGTTAAATTCTTTCCTGAAAAGTAAATAAAACCTATATATTTACGATATTTCAATTAAAAACATAATAAAATACATGCGCACGGCCGCGCGGATTTTTCCCAAAAAAAACGACTTAAGCCCAAACTGCTACAAGCGTGCGTGTTGTTTTTCATTGACGATTAGTCGGGGAAAAAATGCCTAAAATTTAATTATATTTACAACATTGTCTAAAGAAAGAACCCAACTTTATATATTGTATATGATCGGGGACCATAATTGCAAAAAACAAATTATTTTGATTACGTACCTCCGCGGGAGTTGGCGCCAAAATACGCCGACATCTTCCACCACCGGTTGCCGGCGTCGAACTACCCATACAATGCGCGAATATCATTAAATATACGAGCCACAGAACGCACGGTCCAGGCGTGTCGGTTTCGTTTCGAAAAGTATAATATGACCTAACAAGATATTTTTTTTAATGGATCCGCACGCTCATATAAGCAAGGTTTGAAAGGCGACATTAACAGTTGACACTAGACTGTAATTCCGAATTCACAACGTGACTATCAAGACTCAGCTTGTTTTATTTATTTTTCATCATGAAATGCGGAAAAATAATTGAAAACAACGTAATTTGAATAGATTTTAGACATACTTTTATTTTTTTTAACAGTTAAAATTCTCTGAATGTAAATAACATTAAGAGGGAGCATGCCAAAAAAGTTTTGACGTTGGCTCCGCCCAAATTTGTGAAACAAATACATATATGCCTGAAGTTCGCGTGACATGCGACAGTAGATGTTGAATTTTGCGCATTAAAAGTACCAAATTCGTTTTAGCGGAATAACTCTAAAACTAAAGGGATTAAAAAAAATCCGTAGTGACAGTTCTCGATCATGCATAAATATAATTAATTATCTAATTTTTGTCCTAATAACCTGTAGCATTTCGAGGATGAATCGAAAAAATGCGAAAATTAGAGGTCATTTCGTGATTTTTATCTATCGAGGAAACTTTATTCTTTTATGTTGCTGATTAGTGTCTATGCTTGAATATATCGTGTAGTTACTCATACAATATTTTATTTTTAATTTTAAAGTGGATATACCCCTCTAAAATCAAATCGAAGATTAGGAATTTTTCCTCTGCTTCCTCTTAAGTACTTTAACATTATTCTACTATAAGACGATTCGGAATGTCAAAAAAGAAAGAGATGGCATTGTATAGTTCATATCGCGTTATTTCTTTCTTATGTTTAGTAGTGAATAGACAGTATAGGGAAGTCATTCGTTTTTTCAATCAACACTACTTGGTTGACAGCTTTGTCATGGTACGAATATGAGTAATATTATAATAAGCTTACTAGCTTACATTGAAATAAGATTGTTTTTGGAAAGGTTATGGTAGGCCCTCTGGTCACCGCGCATTCACTGTGGACGCACACTTAGGGTCGTATTCTAGAACTATTCTCAATGCTCAAGTCAGGATTGCACTGGCGACACAAGCACTGGAAATACGACCCTAATGGCAGGGACTTGAGTATGATTTCGAGTGCTTTAAACCATACCGAGTAGAGTTCTAGAATACGACCCTTAGTCTTAAAAATGTATATAAATAATAATAATAATAATAAAAATAATTATTGAGACAACTGAGATCCAATCAAATGTTAGTAGGTACAGACTTAAAACTATATTAGTACTTATATTTTACCAGGGACTTATTACGTACGTATTATGTATTAAGTGCCGCATAATTGGGCACTCATTCCTGTCAGCAACTGTCTTCACGAGGCTATTGCGGCTGTCACGTATTCTCTTCAGCAGCGACGCCGACTTTTTACGTACAACAGCCGTAAAACTATCTACGCGCGCATCAATGAACATGGCTGAGGCACTGCAGAAACGTGACAGCCCCAACAGCGTCGTGAAGGCGTTGTTGTATTGCACGCACAGATCATTTCGAGAGCACTGAGTGTAGCTCTTCCACAAAGCGCTAGCGTACATTGGTGTGCAGTAAGCTTTAAACAATGTTATCTTAACTGCAGCCGTACATCTGGCGAACCTGCTGGCAAGCATGTTTGCTCTCACCGAGAGTGCTCTCCGTTCGCGCTGTATGTCCAGGTCATTCTTGAGGTCGTCGGTAACATAGTGTCCCAAGTATTTAAAGTGGCTAACCCTTCTTAACGGAGTACCATTAAGTAGTACAAAAAGTGCCCACGTAGGACTCTTCCTACCGGCGGCTCCAAAGATCATAAACTCCGACTTTTTAACATTATATAACAAGCCATGGGATGTTGCATATGACTCACATACTCCAACTAGTTTTCTCAATAAAAAGAGATTCATTTTTCTTAAATCGACCGACTAACTCAGTTTTTCTTCACCGACTAACTCAGTAAACGCTGTTGGGTGACGATCATATCTGACGTTTAATTAGAAATGTTCTGAAGAGCTCGGAAAGCGTCCTTCGATTCGAGAACGATATCCAATCGATCGATTCCGTTAAAATATCGAAGAGTTCTGAATCGGGCCTGATCTGATTTCTAAATGCTGAAACAAGAGATTCCCTATAGAGACCCGCACCATCAAACCAAGGCTTTCGAGGAGGTCGCGGTTGCATTGTCCTATATAAAATGTCTCTTGCTAGTGAAATTTCCTCGTTGTCTTTATCCCAAATAATTAGACAAATATCTTTAGCTAGAAAAATAAGTTCCGTAGCGGTTTGTTTACAATATATGCTCACGCCATAAGAAGCTTGTTTAGCAAGTTTAGCCGCCTTCTCATTACGTAAGATACCTACGTGTGATGGAATCCATTGCATAAAGATTTTTTATACTCAACTCGTATATTAATTTCAGGGCTTTATATGCAATTGGAATGCCTTTACTCCCTAAATTACATTTTTCAAAGTGTTGGAGCGCGCTTCTAGAATCTGTGGCAATTAGAATCTTATCTCTCTGTCATCTTCTTTCTTAACGAAATCAGGACTTTGGGATATTGTCTTTGGGCTTGTTGAAATGTATTGATGAGTTGTTAGCTTACGGATGGTGGCTTTGTTTACTATTTTGAGTACACTGTTTTGTAAAGGGGTTTTTTAAATTTAAATTTAATGTATTATTACTTTTCAGGGTATTCAGTGACTTTGGGATCGATGTGCGAACAGGTTACATGTTGATCGCTAGATCTTACTATTATTGCCCCCACTTGAGGCATATGGTCATCCATAATCTTGAAAGTACCGTAAGTATATTGTCAAATACATTTTCTCCATCTGGGGGTACGGCAGTGACCACGGAAGAAAAAAACAATCGAAGTGCCTTAGACCTCGATTACTATCAGAACCGATGTTCGCCAAAATGCACACATTTTTGGTTTGAAACACTACGAAATCTTGATAATGATTGGTCGTAGTTTCAAATTTAAAAAGAGATAACAGGTTCTGGATTGTTAATGTAATTTAAACTTTACCCTGTTGGCATATCAATGAAAGTTATTGCCAGTTACGACGTTTTGATTATTATAATTGAAATTTCAATCAATGTAGTCCCATCTAACAACGCAACAAAAAATATTTCGATAAACAGAAAATTGAATATTTAATAAAAAAAGACTTCCGATGATATGAAATACCACCACGGGTAATATTTTTGGTGTGGCTACCATTTTTGCATTCCAAACCAGCACAATAAGGCATTTTTGTAGGATTTTAGAGAATTTGCACGAGAGAATGGCGCAACCATACCATGCAAAGTTAAAATGGCGGACTGAGCTCAAGTAGGTCTTTCGAGACCTAATGTTGGCACGCGTCCGATGCTAACTAATCACTTCCACAGTATTAATTGTTCTGTGGTAGTGACTCATGCTAAATTTAATAATCCCATATGGAATTTTTTTTTCTTCAAATACTTCAATCTACTATTCTGCCCTCGTAACGAATGCATACGTATGCGTACTTTATACAGCAATTGTGTCTTTTCGTTCTGAGGGAGAATATTCACAGAAACGATATGTTCCAAAAAAAACCACTATATAATCACAATAATTAATAAAAAAATTAAATAGTACACAAATTACTCAAAAATCTCTACTTAGCGAATGAATGTGAATAATTTTAAACTTTCATTATATATTTTTTTCTTATATGACTCTTCAGCGCCCGCTTTTGGGATCACTGTGGGAAACTATAGATTGGATGAACAGTATGTCACTAGGATTAGCTAATATACTATGCCAATAACTTTTTAAGAAACGGAAATAAGACTCTACGAATTAAGCGGTTTCACACACGCGTCACTTTAAGCAGGGATGCAAACGCTCGACTGGATCGATACAAACGCTCGTTTGCCTCACTGGTAAAAGTCGCCGCGTGTAAACACTCTTAAATAGAAAAGTAATAAAATTTCACTTATACGCAATTTCGTGTTATTTGTAAGCCTTTCATGCGATAAAAGCATGTGGCTTTATTATACTTAACGGTGCGTTTTACAAATAATTTATACAAATCCAGGACTTTAATGTTCAAAACAAAAATTCTTACGAAGCATGTGAGACAATTGACTTCCTGACTGCTACCAAAGTGTTGTCCGATCAGCGTCTGACCAATGGGCTATTACAGTCTATCTACATATTTGGCAAACTGCATACGGTCTTCTGATCTGAAAATTATTGAAAAATAAATTAGCACACCCGGGTAGAATCGAATCACCAACCTTTCGGTTAACAGCCGAACGCGCTAACCAATTGCGCTACGAAGGCTATACGTGTCACTTTTAAATTAAAGAACCTAAATGAATTAGTTAACTAAGCAGTAGATGTTAAAATTACTTAAAAGAAATTGTCGCCTCCGGGTGGAATCGAACCACCAACCTTTCGGTTAACA